TCTGCAAGTCCATGAGACCAATAAGGGACTGGTCACACCAGACCTCTTTGTGGGAGGAGTTCCAATGCGTGTTTGATGAGCCTCAAGAGCTGCCTCCATCTCGTGGTCGTGAGCACCATATCACAATGGAAGAAGGAACCAACCCATTAACTGCAGAAGGAGTCATTGAAGCAGCACCGGAGGCTGTTTTAGATGTCCGTACTAATGAGATAAATGGTCAAGAGGAAGTCCTCATTCAGTGGAAAGGACTGCCGGATTGCACTTGGGAGTGGGAAGAGGTGATCCAAGGGCAGTTTTAAAGGGGGCGGTAATGTTACGAGGGCTGATGAGAGGTCCACCAATCTTATATCAGTACAAAAGGAAGCCCACATCATCAGGGCCTGGTGGAGTCACAAAAGGAAAACGGCTACATGAGATCGTGAGCTTCTAGAAGGATCAAGGAAGAAGCCATGTCATAGTCTGCACATGGGATAGCGACACACCCTGTGACACAAGATCTATTTAAAGGAGGGATTCGGTTAAGGGAGATTTTCATCAAGAGATTTGATCAATAAGTTTGTTGAGGAGATAGAGCTCCATGAATACTCTCTGCTTTGTAAACGTTTTGGTTGCTTAAGAATAAAGTTGTTCTTGTTTCTTAAGGAATTCTCAGGTTTACATCGTATTTCATAGTTTTGATATACAAATCGTATCATGTTCCATCTGCCAACACAAAGCGCTCGTATTTGAAAAACCGCCGAGGTTTTTCTCATACAAAGAGTTAGAGCTTGCAACAAACGGGTTTTCACAAACTAGTTTCTTGGCAGAAGGTGGATTTGAATCTGTTCACCGAGGTGTGTTACCGGAAGGCCAGATTGTAGTTGTAAGCAACACAAACTAGCTAGTAGCTAATTATACGAAATCCAAAACTCGGTTTATATATATAGAAATGTGTTCCACCCATAAAATAATTATTTTGTATAGTATTGATAGTTTAGAACATCTCACATTCTCCTCGACGACTGCTAGACTTAGAAATCTTTGATAGTAGCTAATCACATTGACATTAACTGTTTTACATCTGCACCCATCTCTTTCAATTGATAAAACGAGAATATAATCAAAATGTGATGATATATATATACTAACAGGTCTTGGAAGCACTTGAGGGACTCAAGAAGAAAGCAGATGCGCAACCCGATGAGATTGTATCCGTGGAGAAACTGATAGGAGAGTCTTATTCTGCTATTGACAAAGCAGTGAAGGTTAGAGCACTACACAGGAACACTGGTGCACGTAGGAAGTCTCGGTTGGCTAGGAGGAAAAAGGCCGTTGAGATCCACCATGGTTGGTATGTCCCAGACA